ACACCCAGTGCGGATCCCGCAGTAACATTGCTATTCCCATACAGACTGACACCCAGTGCGGATCCCGCAGTAACATTGCTATTCCCATACAGACAGACACCCAGTGCGGATCCCGCAGTAACGTTGCTATTCCCATACAGACTGACACCCAGTGCGGATCCCACAGTAACATTGCTATTCCCATACAGACAGACACCCAGTGCGGATCCCACAGTAACATTGCTATTCCCATACAGACTGACACCCAGTGCGGATTACAAGCTGTAGGGCTGTCAGGGGATAATACAGGGCAACTCTGACCCACCATTGCTCTGCCATCACACACTCATTGGCTGGGCAATATGTCAATCCTGGCCTTCATCCATTTGGCTCCGCCCACCTCTTAATGAGGGATGATTCTTTAACTCTCAGTATCACATCCTACACAGTATGCTCTGCTCAATAGAAATAACAGTAGCAATAGTGTCAACATGTTGATATAATGTAACCAGTATTGGTATAAATCTATATAAATGGCAATTACTCATACCACCGAAGTAATTCAATTATCTCCCAGAGCAGAGGCAAATCGCCATTTTAAGTACAAGTCACAAAACACATAAAAATATATAACTTTATAACTGCCGAACATATTACATTCGTGTAACACATCCCCAGATAGCCTGGATCTGAGTGCATATTATTGGCGAATAGCGCTCAGATCCCATACGCACAGTTCAATCGCCATGGAGTCAAAGTCTATTACAGTTCTTCGGTATGCGATTGACTCCATGGGAAGGCTATCTGGGGTAAGTCCATTCGTGCCTTTACATCTCCCGAACGGCCGGTGTTCGCACACTTCTGTCGATTGAGAAGGGAGGTCGACGGCTTCAGCGGTGTTCGGTTGAAAAAGTGTCCGTTTTTAGTTCCATGAAATAACCGTCGAACACCGCTGGTCTTTCGCATGGTTAAAATGGCCGCCGCCTCGTGGTCGACATACGAACGACGACCACCCTGTATTCGGTTTTAATTGAGAAGTGTCTGTGGTTAACCGCAACGTTCTAATTGGGATCAATAGGTTAACCAGCAGCACACTTCTCTTCTGGGTGGCCGTCCGTTCGGCAGGAAAGTAGATTCACTTAAACAAGGCATACGAATGGGTAAATTCATGCAAACGGCAAAACAGACGAATACAGCAATGTTAGTTCATACAGATGGGTCTGTCACAGTCTCTGTCTCTGTCTCTGTCTCTCTCTCTCTCTCTCTCTCTCTCTCTCTCTCTCTCTCTCTCTCTCTCTCTCTATATATATATATATATATATATATATATATATATATATATTGTCTCTCTGTCTCTTAATATCTATATGTCTCTCTGTCTCTATATATCTATATGTCTCTATATATATAATGTCTCTCTGTCTCTTAATATCTATATGTCTCTCTGTCTCTATATATCTATATGTCTCTATATATCTATATGTCTCTCTGTCTCTATATATCTATATGTCTCTCTGTCTCTATATATCTATATGTCTCTCTGTCTCTATATATCTATATGTCTCTATATATCTATATGTCTCTATATATCTATGTCTCTCTGTCTCTATATATCTATATGTCTCTATATATCTATATGTCTCTATATATCTATATATCTGTGTCTCTGTCTGTGTGTGTCTGTCTATTATACATTTTTTTATTTTATTTGGTTTTAAACAGATTTTATGCTGCAATATATTAGCAGCTGTCAATTAGCATAGCCGCCAGCCATCACTACATTAAATGGAGTAGCAGCCCCAGACGTTCATCTGCCTCTGATGTGACTGAACTGTCACGAAACGCGTAAGGCATTTTTTGGCAATTGCCGTACACTGATCCAGCTACCGAGCAACCGTGGAACGCACGCAAGAGGTATCTCACCTCTCCCAACACACCGAGTTCATCTCATAGGCCAGAGAGAACTTTTCCACAGTTTGCGGACCATCACCCGATTTTGCTTAACCGTCAAGACTCATTTGCTGGCATATTCCATTTTAATTTTTGTGAGTGTGTTCCCATTTTAATCTTATTTTGAATAAATGTGAAGTTTCATTGAAGAGCACTACCAGCTTTTTTTCTATTATTTGCCGAGCATTTAACAATCCTATTACTATATACCTGCATATGGTGGTATATGAGTAATTGCCATTTGCTGCTGCTATCCGACATTTATATAGATTTATACCAATACTGGTTACATTATATCTCTCGCCTGCCTGCCCGCCCAGGAGCCCCACTGGACCCCAGGTGAAATATCCACCCAGCTATTTCAAAAGTAGGGAGGCTGGGTGTGGGGAAGTGTGTGTGTGTGTGTGTCTCAGTGAATGGAGGAAGTGTGTGTGTGTGTGTGTCGGTGAATGGAGGAAGTGTGTGTGTCGGTGAATGGAGGAAGTGTGTGTGTCAGTGAATGGAGGAAGTGTGTGTGTCGGTGAATGGAGGAAGTGTGTGTGTGTGTGTGTGTCGGTGAATGGAGGGTGTGTGTGTGTGTGAATGGAGGGTGTGTGTGTGTGTGAATGGAGGGTGTGTGTGTGTGTGAATGGAGGGTGTGTGTCGGTGAATGGAGGGTGTGTGTGTGTGTGAATGGAGGGTGTGTGTCGGTGAATGGAGGAAGGGTGTGTGTGTCAGTGAATGGAGGAAGTGTGCATTCACTATACACCCTACACACACACTCTGCATTCATTATATACACCTTACACAAACACTCACTGCATTCACTATACACACTCACTGCATTCACTTTACACACACCACAAAGACATACAGCTGCCCTGTCTAAACACTGCATCCACTACATGTGGCATGTATATTTTGTGCATTTACCTTTAGAAATAGTTTATTGTTTTTCAAAATGGTAAATGTACAGAAAATCGGCAATATATCGGCCTGAAAGTTCACAGATTATCGGTATCGGCTCTAAAAAAAATCAATATCGGTCGATTCCTAGTTCAAATCCTGGCAGGGTTGACTCTGCCGTTCATCCTTCCAAGGTACATAAAATGAGTACCTTTTTAAATTGGGTAATAGCAACATCCCCAGGGCGTACTTGTAAACCAGAGCAATCTGAATGTACCTTTCCTGGTTAATACTTTGTTATTATTACAGAGGAGAACCAGACCAGAGTCTATTCTCGGAATATTGGTGTAAACAGTAATGGACCAAGACAGGAATAAATATATCAAGGTCTTCGATGTAATTTTACATTGTTATAATTAAAGCAGGCTATATATTTTGCATTTACAGAATTGATGTGGTCACTTCCATCAACCTCTTCAACCAGTACTAGAGTGCATTCTCAGAGCATTGGAGTAAATTGTGATAATGGAAAACGATAGGAACTGGGTGACTGAGAAGATCTTGGATCTAACCCTGGAGATCATCTACCTGCTGACCAGAGAGGTGAGGGTTTCTGGGTAATGTCATTATGGAGATCATCTACCTGCTGACTGGAGAGGTGAGGGATTCTGGGTAATGTCAGTATGGATATCATCTACCTGCTGACTGGAGAGGTGAGGGATTCTGGGTAATGTCACCATGAGATCATCTATTTGTTGACTAATGAGGAGAGTCTGTGTAATGTCAGTTTGTTAATGGGCCACTCCACCTCTTTAACAAATTAACACATTTTTATGGGGCCTGGAGTCTCTGGTTGCCACCTTAACTTGGTGCCACCTTTACTTATGAAGTTAAACCATTGTCTTCAGTATATGAACACTCCAATGTTAATAAATATTTTTGTCTTTATCTTTGGGTTGTTCTTTGTCTCTGATATAGGTCTCCCTGTTTTCATAATAAAATGAAAAATACTTGCCATTTTTCCTGCTCTGAGACAGTTTCTTTGCCCGAAACCAATCCGCCCACAATGAGATCTTCACGTGTGGTCTTTACTTCACTGGTCAAGCCCATTGTTTTTCATAGAGAAGGATCGCCTTTCATGTGTTAGAACATGTTGGGAAGGTTCCAGTGAGGACAATTATAAAAGGTCTAATTTCTCATGAAATAGACACTTTTGTAAAATAGCAGTTATTGGACTGTCTTTTCCATTGTTCCAAAAAGACAAGTGCAAGAAGTTAACTGGTGCTTATAATAACAAACCTATTATAATGAAAGGCTTGGTATAGACACCATCATCACCACTTTGCATAATTACAACTTTGATATATAGAGAAGCTGCAAAGATTGTAAAAATAAATCAATAATGACAGTAATCGAGGCTGTCTGTAAATTAATTAAAACCAGAGCAAAGAAAATTGACCTAATTATTTCAAGGCTAAGGCCTGTAATTGTCGGAGCGGTTTCATGACCTATTTATTCCCAATACAGCCTCTTACCTGGACTAAGCCCGTTCTGATCATAGTTACCTGAAACTTCCAGTTTTGACTCTGATCCATACAGGCCTCTGATGCCCTGGTCTTGGTGCCTCGAAGATCCCCTTACCCTGTCAGGTTCTGCAAGTCGCGTGGGGATATGCAGGTACCATGTGGGGCTTCCTAGTTTTGCTCATTTCTCATTCGGCTTGATTATTCGGCACTACTGGCACATGTGTTTCCCAGGATGCACTTTGGGTCATCCGGTGTAAAATGTTTGGTCTAATTCGTCCTGAGTATTTAAAGATATTTGTCATTTGTGCCACTAGCAGCAAATTCAATCTTTCGAAATGTTTGCCCGTTTCAGCCACATTTGCCGAATATTATTCAATGTTATATGAATGTCTGTCTCTAGCACCACATTCGGCCATTACGGGTGTTTATCAGTTTGCCTGTTTCAGCCACAATCGGCCTTATTAATGTTAGCGATATTGGCTATATGTGTCTCTAGTGGCATATTCCGTCACTTAGTTTTTAAAGTTTTACATGATTCAGCCTCACTGTATTCAGTCCACTCTTTATGTGGTATTACCAGCTTGGCATGTCCAGCCCTCATTCTGCCACGCCAGAGACAAATCGCCATTTTAAGTACAAGTCACAAAACACATAAAAATATATAGCTTTATAACTGCCGAACATATTACATTTTGCACATTTCAGTTTGTTTTCAGCTATATTCTGCATTTAGTATATTAAGGTGTGTGTGTGTGTGTGTGTGTGTGTGTGTGTGTTTATACAAACTAATTTTCCCTGTTTCATTGACCTTTTTCATATATTTCTATTTGCATTTTAATTCTGTTTTCACCCAGCCACCATATGGCCTTTTGCATGTCTGTATTACTTACTTGGCCCTCGTTTGGCGTCCAACTATGATCATTCCTTCCCTTGGGGACAAGGGGCTTGATTGATTAATTTCCTATGACATGACCTATGTGCTCGGCCCACGTACATACATTATTTTTTTGTATATATTTACTGTTATCGAGAGACCATCACCCCACCACAACGTTCAGTGGCCCCAGCCCCATGACACAATTCATAGATAGAGCATCTCTACGGCTGCTTGGCTACTAGCAGGGCCTCACCAGCCACTGAGTAGTTTGTTTTTCACCCACAGGCACTAGTTAGCAAGCCAGTTCTAGCTATTAAGGTGTGGTTTAGCATTACAGATGACTTGCTTGTGTTTTCTTCATTTGCAGTATGTCGCAAGAGTTGATCCAAGGAGAGATGTTTTTCTCTTCTCAACACCACTACTAGGCTTTGCACCCACTACACCCAGGTCTCCAATGTCTTTGATTATCCCTAGGATCTTAGCTGACCTATGACATAGAGATATCCTCTTCTCTGCTACAGTTTATTATCTACACATCCTGATGACCTCAGGCCTGGTAACCGCTCACAGATGAGCAGCTCAGACAGCCTAGCAGAAATGCACGGGACAATGTCTACAATTATGTCCTCTTTACAATCTATTAATGAACGGCACGCTTAGTTGGAATCTTCTAACACTGGTCCCACTAATCCTGCTTTGGACATTCCAGCTTCAGGTCCCACACATTCCAAAATACAGTAGCTCTTCACTTGGTTTCCTCTTCGATCAGTAAAGAACTTTTGTATGGAAAGTACATAAACCTGGTGTCTTTGTTAATCACTTCACAAGATCTGATTGAGAATAAGTCACACTATGGTGACCTGTCGATGGTGCTTAAAGGACCACTATAGGCACCCTCTAGTTTTAACTCTGCAGCTGAAAACATAGTTTCAGAGAAACTGCTATGTTTAAACTGAAGGGTTAATCCAGCCTTTATTGGCTGTCTCACTGACTGCCACTAGAGGCTGCTTCTGTGGTTCTCACTGTGAAAATCAGTGAAGACGCCGACGTCCATAGCAAAGCTTTTCCTATGGGCATTTTTAATGCGCAAGTGGCTCTGGATATGCATTCGGCTCCACGCGGGAGCCAACATCGGAGGGGGAGGAGAGGTCACCAGCACATAGGGAGCCCAGCACTGCATTAAAGGTAAGTGGCTGAAAGGGTTTTAACTCATTCAGCCCAGCTGGAGGGGGGCCCATGAGGGTGGGGGGACCTAAGAACTATATAGTGCCAGGAAACCTAGTTTGTTTTCCTGGCACTATAGTGGTCCTTTAAGTCCAGGTCCAAGATTAAACAAAACTTTGCATTCCTGAATTCGTCCTGACAGTCAGGTTATATATGGACATTATTTGTTCCATATATCCTCTATGACGAGAAGAATTAGAGACTTATACCTGCACAAATTGGTGGATTTGGGACAGAAGTACGCAGGTAATACTTTTTATGACTGGAGGAAGTCTTGTACCTTCTCAATCTTTCTCCATTATGAATTTGTCTTGCGTTCACACAGCGCAACCCTCACCCTTGCTAAACAGTCTTACTTTTCCTTTCTCATTAGTCCATGTTCCTGCAATCCCAGGCATTTCTTTAATACTCTCTTCTTCACCCCCTGCTGCGGCCACACCCCATACTAATCTTTATGATGAAGGCTTCTCATGCTACTTTACTTACAAGATAAAACAGTTTAGGGACGAATTCTCCCTCCTTTACTCCTCTCAACCTCACTTGGACCGTACCTTCAACCTCACTTGGACCGTACCTTCTCTACCCTCCAAGCCTTTTCACAAGCTACTGAGCAGGAGGTGGCTGCACTTCTCCTTTCCTCTCGTTCCACCACTTGTCCGCTTGATCCCATCTTAACTCATCAGATCTCTCGCCCCTTGTCTTGTGCCTTCCTTAATGCAAATCTTCAACTGCTTTCTTCTGGTGTTGTCCCTGCTCCCCTTAAACATGCTACTGTTGTGCGCTTCTTAACGCTAGCTCTTGACCCAGCTTCCCCTTTCAACTATCGTCCTATATCCCTGCTCCCTTTTCCCTCAGAGCCTCTGGAAACACTTGTCTTTACCTGTCTGACTTGCTTAATCAATTCAACCCTCTTCAGCCTGAATTCTGCCCCCTCCATTCCATGGAGACCGCTCTGACTAAAGTTACAAATTATCTAATTGCGGCTAAATCCAAGGCCATTACTCCATACTAATTCTTCTTGACCTCTCTGCTGCCTTTGACACTATTGATCATGGGCTCCTTCTCCAAACTCATTCAATCTCTTGGTTCTCTGTGATACAGCACTCTTATGGTTCTCTTCCTATTTGTTACAACGTACATTCAGTGTCTCCTTTTCCAATGATACCTCCTCCCGTTGTCCTGTCTCAGTCGGTGTCCCTCAAGGTTCGTTACTTGGTCCCCTTTTGTTCTCTCTCTATACTGCCTCTTTTGGCAAACTCATTTATTTGGATTCTGCTACCACCTGTATGACACCCAGATATATCTCTCCTCCCCTGCTGTCCTACAACATGTCACCAATTGCCTTTCTTCCAACTCTGACTGGATGTCCTCCCACTTTTTGAAACTCAGTCTCTCTAAAACTGAGTTTTTTTTTATTTTTTTTTATTCTTCCTCCTCATAACACTGATCCTCCACTGTTACTCTTCCTGCAGGTCGATGGTACTTGCCTCACTCTATCCTTGCAAGCGCACTGTCTAGCTGTCATTTTTGATCTTGGCCTCATCTTTGCACCTCATGTCCAGTTTGTTGCTAAAACTTGTCGATTCCACCTTAAAAACATTGTCCTTGTCTGCCCATTTCTTAAGATGCTGCCAAGGAGCTTGTTCATGCTCTAGTAATCTCTTGCATTGATTACTGTAACACTCTCCTAATTGGTCTCCCCAGAAGTCGTACTGCCCCTACAGTTTATGATTAATGCTGCTACCAGGCTGATCTTACTCTTCTGACACTCGTCTCACTCTGGTTCCTGTACCCTACAGGTGTCATTTCCAAATACTAACCCTTACCTATAAAGCTCTAGCCCCTCTTACATTTCTTCACTGATTCGTAGGTATGCCCCCCTTCGGTCTCTTCGCTCTACTTGTGACTTTATCCTGTCTGCTGCTTGCACCCTTACTGCAAAATTACGCCTGCAGGACGTCCTTTGGAACAGCTTGCCTACCCCCGTCAGACTCTTCTCTAGTCTTCAATCCTTTTAAGAAGTCCCTCAAAACCAAGCTTTTCAGGAATACCTATGGCCTCCAAGAGTAACTATGTCACAAACCTTCCTCTTGCCCTCTCCTAAAGGAACACACTCCTCTCTCACCTCCAGTTCTTTTACTTTTTACATTTCTACCATGTTTATTTGCTGTCTCCCTCAATACCATTTCTATTGTGTTTTTTATACCCCACCTCCTCTAAACTTTAAGCTTTGAGCAGGGTCCTCTTACCTATTGGTTCCATAACATTTTGTTATTGTCTCATTTTGTTTAAATTCCCCCTTTTAATGTAAAGCACTGCGGAATAAGCTGATGCTATATAAATACCAATAATAATATTTAACTACCACAAGTCTTTTATGGCCAAAGGAGCTGCGGCTCTAGCTCAGTTACAATATTTCACTTAGGTGCCCAAGTACTCAGGCACGTGCCCAAACTATTATGGGGGAGGAAGGTCTGCGAAAGTATGTTGTTGTTTTTTTTTTTTTTTAGCTTGTTACCATTGTGTTACTCACTCTGGTAAACAATTAAAAAGCATCCACTGAGTTAAATCAACAAGGAACTGTCCCTTCAGTATTTTTAATAGTCATTTACCCTTGATATTTTAACAAATATGTATTTCAAGTGTGACAAATGAAATTTAGAAATCCACACATCTTTATCCTGAAACTGATATAATTAGCAGAGACGCAATGTTTTCCCCTGTAAACATAGTCAATGCACTTTAGTGGTAAAAAGTTGTATCCATAAACACATGTAGGGCAAGAAACATACTAGCAGAGAGACCATAGAAAGAGAGAAAGGAAGCAGAAAAGTATGCCAAGGAACAGAGTGAGTGGCAAATGTCTGTGGATTTGAAAGTAAATTATTTTATTATCTATGCCATTCTTGATAATTAGAATTACATGATTGTGAAGAAGCCTAGTGGCAATATACCACCCAGCAGCAGTCCCCTTGTATCAGATGGATCCTGCATGAATCAGAGGCTGTACAGTGTGCCTCCACCTTCCTACTTGATCCATGAGAAAAACCATGATCAGAAGATCCTGGAACTGACCAATCAGATCATTGAACTGTTGACTGGAGAGGTGAGGTTGCTGGGAATGGGACATTATAGAGTAAAACCAAGGGAAATGTCTGGATGATGACAGTATCATTGTGTTTCAGGTTCCTGTAAGGTGTGAGGATTTCACAGTCCATTTCTCCATGGAGGAATGGGAGTATATAGAAGGACACAAGGATCTCTACAAGGACATGATGATGGAGAACCACCATCATCTCGGATCACTGGGTAAGGTTTAATCACCACAATCTCTGTTTGATGTATTTTTTCTTGAAGTGATTTATCAAGTATTAATGTGTGTTTTTGTTCCAATAGAGGAATATGTACCTGACCTATTTCAAACCACAGTGTTGTTGACCAGTGTTGATACCAAAGATGAAAATGTTAAGAAAACCAGGGATCAAGGAAAATCTCTGAAAGTCAACAAACCAAAGGAAAGTCTGACTAAATCTGTAACATTCATGTCACAAAAATCAACATCATGTGAAGAAGGGAATATCACAGGCATATCTATACAGAACCCGCACACAAAGAATACACAACACACTCAGACAAAATATCCATCTATTGATATTGTAGAGATATCAAGTGACAGTGATGAAGAAAATCTCATGGAAGCCGTTGATGATACTCTTAAAGAACAATCAAAGAGAGAGGATTCATGTAGTTCTGACACATCAATTCAGTCTAAAAAAACATATCATTGTCAAACAGACAGATGTCGTCATACAAATGGAATATTGAATTTGTCTGCATTTTCACAAAATTTAAATAGTAACTTAGGCCTTGACAAAAATCAGTCCTCTCACACAGACAACAAGATGTCTTTATCTGAAAAGCAAAATGATAGTTGTTCAAAGTCTGTCTTGGTTTTACATGAGATAGGTGGCAGAGGAAAGAAGCAATTTCCATGTTCTGAATGTGGAAAAATGTTCACTCAGAAGAAAAAACTTGTTAAACATCAGCGGGTTCATAGAGGAGCGAGGCAATTTAAATGCACCATATGTGGAAGATGTTTTACCCAGAAAGGGGTGCTTGCTAAACATAAAAGGATCCACACTGGAGAAAAACCATTTAAATGTGATCAATGTGGCAGGTGTTTTGCTCAAGCTGCACAGCTTGCATCACATACAAAGCGGTATAAAGAAAAACCATTTATATGTACTGAATGTGGAAGATGCTTTAAAGACAGGCGTGATCTAAATAAGCATCAGCTAATTTACTCGTGTGAAAGACCATTTAAATGTCCTGAATGTGGGAAAGGTTTTAAAACATTTGGACATCTTGAGGTCCATACATTGACCCATACAGGAGTAAAACCATTTAAATGCCCTGAATGTGGGAAAGGTTTTAAAACATTTGGACATCTTGAGGTCCATATATTGACCCATACAGGAGTAAAACCATTTACATGCCCTGAATGTGGGAAAGGTTTTAAAACATTTGGACATGTTGAGGTCCATTTATTGACCCATACAGGAGTAAAACCATTTAAATGTGAAGAATGTGGCAAATGTTTTAACCAGCCAGGACAGCTCACTGCACATAAAAGGATTCACACCGGAGAAAAACCATATAAATGTAGTGAATGTGGGAAGTGTTTTATCCAGGCAGGGTCCCTCACTTCACATGAAAGGATTCACACAGGAGAAAAACCTTATAAATGTAGTGAATGTGGGAAATGTTTTATCCAGATGTCACAGCTCAGTTCACATAAGAGGATTCACACAGGAGAAAGACCATATATGTGTAGTGAATGTGGGAAATGTTTTATCCAGGCAGGAGCCCTCTCTAAACATAAAAGGATTCACAATTGAGAAAAAGAATATATAAATGCACTGAATATGGGAAATATTTTTTTCCATGTCCTCATCTTTTGTATCACATTAAAATAAAATTTACACATAGACAAACATTGAAATGGATACAATATTCAAAAAATTCCCCCTCACTTTTTTGTAATGCACAGATAGTTTTATAAAGAGACAATCTAAACACCAACACAACTTGAGCCTAATAAAGCAGTTTTAGTGTGCAGATCATGCCCCTGCAGTCTTGCTTTTAAATTATTTGCCATTTAAGAGTTAAATCACTTGTTTCTGTTTATTCAGTTCTAGCTGCACCTCACCTGGCTGTGACTCACACAGCCTACATTAAAAAAAATATATATTTTCAATCTGACAACACAGTGTGTTTACTTTAAAAGTTTTCATCTCCTATTCTGTTAATTGAACTTTAATCACACACAGGGGCTCTTGTAGGCTCCTCGGAGGAGGTAGAAAATGCTAAAGTAGTCTGCACAATAAAGGAAGTTTAACCGTTAGATCTCTCTTTATAGGAAATGTGTAGGGAGAGTGTGTTGGTCACATGATGGGGAGGCGAATGCTGCATAAACAAAGTGAATTAACTCATAAATGACTGATAATTAAGCAGTGATACTCTGGGACATAATCTATAACAAAAAACTTTTTTAGCCTAAATTTGCTTTGGTGCTTAGAGTGTCCCTTAAAAAAATATTACACAGTTACTCCTGCACTTGCCTGTGCAACAGACAAGCCCTTTGCTCACCAGGAACGAGCTATACTAATCAGGATAATTTCGTTTTAGTCTGTAGTCCAATGCAAACTTGTACAGAGACAGTCATGCATAGAGGCAGGGCCATCTCCAGAGCAACATCAGATCTCTGGACTTTTAATTAGCCAGAATTATTCACCATGATATATATTATTAGCAAATAATAAGCACTTTCTTTTCTTCTTTTCAGAATTGACAGGAAAACGTATTTGCTTTTATGTTGCTTAAATGTATTAATATGATAGACATGAGTTAATTCAAAAACATGTTATGTTTTGTTATGGGCAAATGTAAATATTACAAGTTTTAGAATGAAATGTTTTTCTCAAACTGTGTACTTTGTCTTTAAGAGATATTGTAAAGTGAAAAGGTGTTAGAAATGGAACATATTTTTCATAGATGTTTCTTTAAGTAATAAGTGCATAATATGTTTGCGCCATTTTGTCCCAGACGAATTACAATAACAATAATGCATAAACAAGCTTCGAAGCTATACTACAACTCTTTCAGTACACAATATACTGTGGTAACCCCAAGTTAATGGAACTTCCCCAAATCCGGGAATCTCCCACGACAGATAAGCTATTCAGACTTTAAGATGCCATCTTGAACTAAGTCCGGAAAATTTCCATGACGTATACACCCTTTAGTTATGGCCTTGTATGTTTGCCAAGTTAAGGGAGGTCCTAAAATGAATAAAGTGAAAGAAGTGTTACTTTTTCATATATGAACTACGGTAACCCTAAAATGACGACACCTAAGGTATAAATAGGTGTACTTTTAAATGTTAAGACACAGAGGAGAGACTTGGAGACAGACGTTGCTCCATCTTAAAATGATAGAGAGGCTGACATGATGGCATGTTCAGAAGGGTATGTTAACTTGTTAATGATATTTGCAAGCATTTAGTTTAATCTTATAAACTCTGCTATAATGGATTTTATATGTCTATATTTATATTTTTATATAATATCTAAAAAGACAAAACTCTATTGCTTCCAAGACTATCCTTATTTTATATTGTATTCCCAATTATTTATATATGTTAAATAGAGGATCTCTTACACTATATAAAATTATGGCTAAGATATCTGTATGGTTAGCCCTACTAAGTTCTATGCTTTAAGAAATTATAGTAGTAAATAAGGGAACCACCTGCAGTTACATTGTTATTTTATTTTAGTGATGACTTAAAAATAAGTGCAAATTAGGCTTAAATAACCAAGTTGTGATAATAGTAAAGATTTGGATTTTATTTCCAGTCTGCACGCTTTGCTTACGTCTGAAAACTTGGTTTTCAGTTCTCAACAATTCAGTGGATAAAACTCCTCCATGAAATGTTTTTTGTTTTTTTTAAGATTCTTTATTTTGGTATTTTTCAATAGTATAAACCGAGTTCGATAAAGGTATAGGAGTTTGGTACAATGTAAGACCAACAATATTAAGTATAATAATAATGAATCTTGCAACAGATATGACTTAAAACAATGTGTGGAGGGCTATTGTATTTTCATAGTGGAAAGAGACTAAAAATGAAGAGGGCAAAAGGAGAGAAGCACTGACTTTTTTAACGGGCCAGTCCAGAAGACGAAGAAGCCACACGCCTGCAGTCTGGTTCCCCAAACTGGAAAGGGGAGGGACAAGAGAGGAAAAAAAGGAGATAAGTAGGGTATGGGAAATTAGAATAAATGTCAGGACGCATTAATATGCCATGTGACGAGAGCAATCTCGCCACATTGCATTGGAGAAGCCTGGCTGCCCGCCTGCTGCCTTTGGACTATGGACCAGACTTTATGTAAATATGTTAACCCAGATAGCTATGTCATGGAGCCCATTCGTGTAGTTAAAGACTTCGGCTCCATGGCAATTGAACTGTGTGAATAGGATCTGAGCGCTATTCGGTAGTTTTGTGCACTCAAATCCCAGCTATCTGGGGATATGTGAAATGTCTGTGTGTTATGTGTAAAAGGTGACTTTATGTATTTTAAAGTGTTTTATGTCTTTTTGCAACCATGTGCTCAATGGAGTCTGCCTCTATCCCTGGATAATTGGATTACTTTCCCCATTGTCTCCAGGATAGAGGGCTCTGTAAAACCTGTTTGAGCCAGATATCCATGTGCCAGCCAGGGCCCAAAAGATACTTTTACTAACTTTTGAACCCCTGGTCTGATTCATGCCATTTTTTAATATGTTGTTCCCCTGAATGGATTGATTGTGAATATGTAATTTTATGTGAATGTGATGTATGGTTTTAGAGTTATGAAAGTTGGGTAGAAAGTATGTTTTAACTGTATGTGTAATTGAGTTTCCTCTCAGGATAAGGGGAGGGAATATGTGGGATGTAACTGATATGTGATTGGTTGTTTTATACCTCCCTGTGGGCGGTCCTGTATTTGAAAAGACTGTAATAAAAACCAGGCTGGGTGTGCCAGCACCTCAGACCACTGCTTGACCCTCAACACGGAGCCTTGTCTCGTTCTTGGGGGGATTCACTGTATGCTGTTAGAGACTGATTGCCAGGAGTGTAAGCTGATTGTCTGCTTTTCCTGTTCGTCTGCTAGCAGCTATTTGGGAGGTTCCAGTTCGGGAGTTGGAGTGCTATTTTGTATCCAGTTCGGGAGTTTGGTGTTCTGCAGTAGCTGTGCCTGCATCACTGGAAAGGGGGACGATCGCCTAAACGGTTTTACCCCTTTTGTGCAAAACGGTCCATTACATGCCAAACACGCAGAACTTAAATAAAAATAAAGAAAACCCTTAGGCACATTATTGGGCCTTAGAGACAAGACAGGCTGAGGTCAGGAATACAGAGTATATGTAAATGGTAGGTAAGCCAATGGTCAAGGAATACAGAAGTCAGAACAGTCAGGAGCCAAAGTTCAAGGGATACAGAGATCTGAATAGTCCATAACAAAGCCAAGGTCAAAATACACAAGAAATAAAACCAAAAACACGCTCTCAGATAACCAGAACTGAAACCGTGACAGGGCACAGAGAAATTAACATAAAAAGCGGGGGTTGCTGTTAATCGAATGGTTATCACACATACAAGCTACATGCAAATGTGGCCTTGCCTTTACACACACAGACGGACATACTTGATTGAATTAACAACACACAGGCACGCACACGCATTTAAAATTAAACTACAGCTTGTAGTGGTTCTGGTGTCCATAGCCTGTTTCTGCAGGCGTTTTTTTTATGTAAGGATTGCCTTTTTGGAGAAAGTGCAGTATTTACAATGCTGCATAGGGACACTGTGACAGAACGCCTGCCACCCCGACTGGGTGCTCGCCAAGGACCATCAGCACTGCACTCGACACTACAACCACCTCCAACCCCACGAACTGCCATAGCTTGGTTGGGGTTTCGCTGTCCTCCACCCACTCTGGACCCAATACCAGGGTTCAGCTTCCAGTGGGTAGACCTTTCTTAGATCCAGAGAGCAGGAACAAGCTCTTACAAGAACTTAAACTCAGGGGAGTATTGTGATATAGCAATCCCCAGAGTGCAGTAATCCCATCCTGCCAAACATGAGCCAAGACTTCATGAAGGGGTAAAGCAGTTCTGTTTAATGGAAGCAAGCACTCACTATTTATACAATTACCCAGGCCAGAGGCACACCCCCTGGACCTGCTGGTACACAGGCATACAAAGGACACAAACCAAACAAACAATACAACAATGTCTGACATTCCCATTCATTATAGCAAAATCCTCCACACTGCCTGTGATATAATTACTGCATACAATGGGCTAACGTAATTGTTACAAACTGCCATTTGTAACTGTTATTTTATTTGACAAATTGCCCTGCTTCCCTGTGTTATGGAGAAGCCTAATTGCCAGCCTTCTGCCCCATGACTATGGACCTAGTGTGTATGGCGATTTGACTGTATTTGTGGGATCTGAGCGCTGTTTGGATATATTGAGCGCTCAGATCCAAGCCATCTGGGGATAGGTTGAATGTGGGGGTTCTGTTCAGTTCAATAGGAGTTATGTATTTTTGTGTCTTTTTGTGTCTTTTGCTAACATGTGGTTAATGGAGTCTGCCTCTATCCCTGGATAATTGGATTACTTTCCCCATTGTCCAGGATAGAGGCCTCTGTAAAACCGGTTTGGGCCAGAAAACCATGCTGCCAGCCAGGCCCCAAAATACACTTTTGCTAACTTTTGAACCCCTTGTCTGATTTGTGCCATTTTTTAATATGTTGCTCCCCTGAATGGATTGATTCTAAATATGTAATTTTATGAAGATTGTATGTGTAGTTTGAAAGTTATAGTACATGTATAAAAACTGTATTTTTACTGCCTGTGTTTAATTATGTTAACCCATTGTGTGCCATAATTAGATCACAGGCAGAGGGGAGGATTTTTGTGTGTAATTGCTGGGTGTGTTTCTGTAATGTACGTTTATGATTGGTTATTCTGTAAACCCCTGTGGGTGGTCCTATCTCAGGGAAACCTGCATAAAAGAAGGCCCTTTGGTGCCAAATAAACAGATCTTCTTGACCCTCAATACGTAGCCTTGTCTCGTTATTGGAGGGAACTGCTATATCACACTGGGGATTGCTATGCTCTGCATACTCCCCTGAGCTTTTAATCACTTAGCTCTTTTAAGAGCTGTTCCTGTTACGCTCTCCTGGAGGAGAGGTCTTCCCCACACGGTCCTGGAGGACAGAAGCTGATCCAGGGTGGAAGGAAGACGGCGAGACTCCAGTTAAGCTACGGCGGTTGTGGAGTCTGCGGTGGTTGTGGTGTCGGCTGCAGTGTTTGGAGTCCTCAGGAAGCGCTAGGAGCATCCATCAACGGAGGGTACTCGGTCGGAGTACAGGGAGCTCCGTTACATTGGTGGCAGCGGTGGGATGGCGTCCTAGTGCGAGGAGAAGCAGCTCGGAGACACTGGTATCGTATGAGAGGTTATTGAGGGCAACGCTAGCCACTGTGCAGTGTCCCTAACTACAGCAGCATGGAGCAGGGATGGATAGAGCCCTGCGAAGAGCACCTCAACATGATACGTCGCTACGAGGACGACGCTTACATTGAGGAGGTAAAGAGGCGGTTGGTCTGCTATGGCCCAGACCTTTCGAACGAGGTGGTCCACCAAGTAATGCGCCAGTTGAGTGCTGAGAACAGTGCGGCAATGGCCTTTGAGCGACAACTGTGGAGGTTGAGGATATGGACACCTAGTCTCCAGCGGCATTGCAAGTTACAGGGAGCCGAAGGTGTCGTCCTTCCTCCCCAGCGGCAGTGCAAGTTACAGGGAGCCGAAGGTGTCGTCCTTCCTCCCCAGCGGCAGAGCAAGTTACAGGGAGCCGATGGTGTCGTCCTATCTCCCCAGCGGCAGTACGAATTCCAGGGGGCCGAAGGTGTCGTCCTTCCCCCCCAGCGGCAGTGTGTCCTACAGGGAGCAGAGACAGTTGGTCTCTCTCCCCAGCGGCAATGCAATTTACAGGGAGCCGAAGGTGTCGTCCTTCCTCCCCAGCAGCAGTGCAAGTTACAGGGAGCCGAAGGTGTCGTCCTTCCTCCCCAGCAGCAGTGTGTCCTACAGGGAGCAGAGACAGTTGGTCTCTCTCTCCAGCAGCAGGACAATGTTATGGGAGTGGAGACAGGCGGTCTCCCTCTCCAGCGGCAGCCTGTGTTTCAGGGAGAGGAGCACAGTACCCCATCTCCCCAGCGGCAGCTTACTCTACCAAGGGGAGACACCAATCTCCCAGATGGCGCAGATGGAACCGTGGTCTCTGTGCCTGACCTACAGGGATGCTGGACAGCCTGTCCAGATCCCCAACTACCCTCACAGGGACAACAGGAAGAGGGGGTAAGTACGAATTCCCCTCCCCAGCTAACTCCTAACTTGGCCCCAGGGTTAACAGAGGAGATGTTAACCCCCACTGACTCCCATGTTCCCCTGGCTACTGAGCCGGACTATGTTCCCAGCACCCCAGCGGAAGAGCTGGCAGCTGGGCAGAGTGCAGTCGGCCTCTGCCCTCCCTTTGTCCCTTGTCCAGAGCCTGATGTCCTGCAGGCTATACCAGCGGAAGAGCTGGCAGCTGGGCAGAGTGCAGTCGGCCTCTGCCCTCCCTGTGTCCCTTGTACAGAGCGTGACATTCTGCCGGCTACCCCAGCGGAAGAGCTGACATCAGGGCAGAGCGCCGCTGGCCTCTGCCCTACCGACCCCCTTGTTACAGGACTGGTCTGCAACCCCCTCTCCCAGCAGCATCAGGGCAGAGCGCCGCTGGCCTCTGCCCCCCAAGTACCACCAGCTATTTGCCCAGCTGCACCAGGAAGGCAGAGGATGCTGCATTTTCATCCTACAACCTGGAACCTACAGGCCAGTACTGTTTATTGTGGGGGGGCTACTTTGCTACATGTTATTTGTAGGTGGGCTGCGAGACTAACTTAGGCACTGACCGACAGGAGGTCAGATGCCTTGTTAGTCTCCCTCCAAAAGGGGAGATATGTTACAAACTGCAATTTGTAACTGTTATTTTATTTGACAAATTGCCCTGCTTCCCTGTGTTATGGAGAAGCCTAATTGCCAGGCTTCTGCCCCATGACTATGGACCTAGTGTGTATGGCGATTTGACTGTATTTGTGGGATCTGAGCGCTGTTTGGATATATTGAGCGCTCAGATCCAAGCCATCTGGAGATAGGTTGAATGTGGGGGTTCTGTTCAGTTCAATAGGAGTTATGTCTTTTTGTGTCTTTTGCTAACATGTGGTTAATGGAGTCTGCCTCTATCCCTGGATAATTGGATTACTTTCCCCATTGTCCAGGATAGAGGCCTCTGTAAAACCGGTTTGGGCCAGAAACCATGCTGCCAGCCAGGCCCCAAAAGACACTTTTGCTAACTTTTGAACCCCTTGTCTGATTTGTGCCATTTTTTAATATGTTGCTCCCCTGAATGGATTGATTCTAAATATGTAATTTTATGAAGATTGTATGTGTAGTTTGAAAGTTATAGTACATGTATAAAAACTGTATTTTTACTGCCTGTGTTTAATTATGTTAACCCATTGTGTGCCATAATTGGATCACAGGCAGAGGGGAGGATTTTTGTGTGTAATTGCTGGGAGTGTTTCTGTAATGTACGTTTATGATTGGTTATTCTGTAAGCCCCTGTGGGTGGTCCTATCTCAGGGAAACCTGCATAAAAGAAGGCCCTTTGGTGCCAAGTAAACAGATCTTCTTGACCCTCAATACGTAGCCTTGTCTCGTTATTGGAGGGAACTGCTATATCACACTGGGGATTGCTATGCTCTGCATACTCCCCTGAGCTTTTAATCACTTAGCTCTTTTAAGAGCTGTTCCTGTTACGCTCTCCTGGAGGAGAGGTCTTCCCCACACGGTCCTGGAGGACAGAAGCTGATCCAGGGTGGAAGGAAGACGGCGAGACTCCAGTTAAGCTACGGCGGTTGTGGAGTCTGCGGTGGTTGTGGTGTCGGCTGCAGTGTTTGGAGTCCTCAGGAAGCGCTAGGAGCATCCATCAACGGAGGGTACTCGGTCGGAGTACAGGGAGCTCCGTTACAGTAATTATCACAGGCAGGAAAATATACAGTTTTACACAATATTCATAACTTTGCAAGTATACATCACATTCTCATAAAACTTACATATTCTGAACCAGCATACGTATACAAACATATGTCAAAATCATACAAATTGGTCCAGTGGTTCAAAAGTTAGATAGTCCTTTTTGACCGACTGCAAGACTGGCTTGGGTGTGGTAAGCCAATTATCTCCAGGTACAGAAAATATCTCTATTCACAACAGAAAAAATACATAATTCCTATCATACTGAACAGAACCCCCACATTCAGATAGCTTGGATCAGAGCGCTCAATATATCCGAAGAGCGCTCAAATCCCACGAACACAGTCAAATCGCCATGGGGTTAAAGTTTTGCAAAGGCTGATGAGAGATTGAGGAGGAACAAAGCAGCCAGTTTAAACTGGTCTGGCAGTGTCCCTGGGACAACGCCCTGCTGGAGAACAATGGCATAGGTATTAAAGGGGGAGGGGAAGACGCACATTCTCCGATGGAATCAAAGGGGCAGAAACAGTCCCACATATTGTTTTTAAAGGGTCATACACCCCAGGGCCATAGTCAGGAGGCTAGCAATCAGGCTCCACCAAAAGCCAGGGGCAAAGGGCAGTTGGTCACATTAAAATCTAGTGACCAAGGGCATTTTGTCACAGACACCTCCAATAACAGTCACTCAGAAGCCCACTAGAGGTGCTTTCTGGGTCAGTTCTGCACAATGAGCAGCACCGATGTTCAGCATCTCCACGCCCTGCATGGAGGTGCTGAATGTTCCTCATAGAGATGCATTGATTCAATACATCTCTATGAGGAGATGATGCTTGACAAGCATGCGCAAGAGTCTTCCAATGCTTTCCTATGGTAAAGCATTAGATTGGCTGAGATCATCAAATGTACTGATCTTGGCCAAGAAGGCAAAGCAGGTTGTGGGACAAGCCCGACTTCAGGCGATGCTGGTGAAAAGGTAAGAAAATCACCTTTTTACCAGGTGAGTTATGGGGTGCATTAACCTAAATGCATTTTTATTCCTTACTTCCTTTAACCCCTTA